ACTTGCGTAAGGACCGAGAAGCCTGGTGGTCGGAGCGTGCCAATGAGCTGGAAGCAGCAGCTGCATCTGGTAACTGCCAGCTCTTCCAACTCATCCAAGCCACTGGCAGCAAGACGTCTGGTGTGAGCGAAACAATCTGTGGGGATGACGGGATGCCAATCACTAACATCCATCGACATCTTGGACGATGGGCAGAATTCTCCGAAGGGCAGTTCAACTGGCCTGCTGCTCCGGCAACATCGGTCACACTGTTCTGACCTCCATGGCCGGTGACGACTGATCCACCAAATGAGGTGGAAGTCCTCAATGAACTCCAACCCTTAAAGCGCTACAAATCACCGGGCCTAGATGACTTATCCCCGGCTTTTCTAAAGATAAGGGTGACTTCCTAATTAAGGAACCGACAGCATTGTTTACAAAGGTCTGGGAACTAGAGAGTGTACCAACGTCATGGAATCAGTCGATAGTTGTCCCTATCTTTAAAAAGGGTTCACGTCGTTCCTGTAACAACTATCGGGGGATAAGTCTACTTCCGATTGCGTCCAAGCTATTGGCTTCCGTCATACTTCGTAGGTTGTTCAAAACCCAAGAAAGATTGACTCGCAAGCAGCAGGCTGGTTTTCACTCTGGTCGAGAATGTATTGATCATATCTTCACCTTCCATCAAATGTTAGAACACCGTCATACTTATCAAAGGCCAACAATCTTAGTGTTTCTTGACATCAGAGCTGTCTTCGATTCGTTGAACAGGACTGTACTCTGGGATTGTCTATTGAAAAAGGGTGTGCCTGAGAAGTTTACTAACGTCCTAAAAGCCCTACATACAAACACGTCAGGTAAAGTGAGAGCATACAACCACCTTTCTCCATTGTTCTATTCAAACAGTGGGGTTAGGTAAAGTTGCCCGATCTCACCATTCCTCTTCAACTTTGCCATCGACGCCATTCTGAAAACAGCTCTGATGGATGCAAGTAATGGCGGTGTGGATCTGTTGCCTGAGGAAAGACTTATCGACCTTGAGTATGCGGACGATATTGTCTTACTGAGCGATAATGCACAAGCCATGCAATACACACTTAATCAGTTGGCAATCAGTGTTCGTAGGTACGGTATCTGCTCTGCACCTTCGAAGTGCAAAGTACTTCTACAAGACTGGTAGGATTCTAACCCTGTACTCACCCTGGAGGGTGAGCAGATAGAAGTAGTTGAGAAGTTCGTGTATCTAGGTAGCTGCATAAGTGCTGGTGGTGGTGTGAGTGATAAGATCAATTCACGTGTAGTGAAAGCCTGAGCGACTTATGCAAATCAGGCTGTAAATGGTCGGATCTACAACGCGTCGGCAAGAGCAGTTTTGCTCTATGCTTGTGAAACCTGGCCTCTCCGAGTCGGGGATGTTAGACGACTCTCTGTGTTTGATCACCGTTGTCTCCGAAGGATTGCTGACATCCAGTGGCAACACCATGTTAGCAATGCAGAGGTTCGGCATCGTGTGTTCGGGCACAGAGACGATAATCCAATTGGTGTCACCATCTTGAAACATCGACTTCGGTGGCTTGGACATGTACTATGAATGTCGTCCCAGAGAATTCCACGTCGTGCATTATTTTTGCAGATGCTGGGACTGGTTAGAAAAAGCGGAGAGGTGGTCAGTGTATAACATGATGTCGTGGTATGAAAGAAAGCTGCAAAGGGCTGGCTTCTGTTGGTCCTTCACGACTCCCTGGCTGGGGTCCGAGCGATGGTGCAACATAGTGGTTAGAGATGTTATTAGATATGGCTCAAAATAGAAGCCAGTGGCGATCCTGCTATTATTATCATTATTACTATTATTTTATGCGAATACTCGTCGAGATTAGAACGAATAGTATGACAGAAATTGAGCGCCGGTTATAGAGAAGTCATTAGATGTGAAATTGAACTTTTATTTTTTTATTCCTTCATGCATAATATACTAACACCGAAGATGAATGATTAATTCTCACATATACATACATATTCTCACACAAATAATTTGTTATTCAGTTAAATATTTCCATGTACTTGAATTTTTCACATGATTTGTAGTTAACTGACTCATTTTATCCTATTTTACAAAAATCAATATCCAGATTTGATTGGTTTAACACAGTATAGTTTCGATTGTTCAAAAGCTATATATTTCTTTGATGATTTTGATTATTACCCCGAAGAAGTTCAGACAAGTTAGCTGGACGAAACGTTGGGATTATTTAAATTTTAATCGCTGAGATTATTTCAAATATAATTTTCACATATTATTATTACACTACCTTACACTAGTCTGGTCGTTATTGTTCTCTTTTTTTCTTTTACGCTCCTTACCTTCTTTTTTCTCTTCCCATTCCCATTGTTTTGTGTGGCGCATATATATTTGGTGCCCTCTTGTACTAATATTTATGTGTTCAAATAAATAAATAAATACGATCACAATCAAATAAATGTATTTATGCAAACCAAAAACTAAACCATCACTGACCATGTCTATTTCCTTAGATTCATGGACCTTTGTTAATTGTTGGCATTTGTCATCAATAAATCTGCTGTTCATTAATAAGTAGTGAAACTATCATTATCATACCCATAGACTATTGGAGTATAATACACAACAGTGTGAAGTAGATTAAGATAATGTTGCCGAGAAGTCTACTTCGTTCACTGTGACCTAAGCTACTGCTTTTACATCAAAAAATAAAAACCTAGATGGTATTATGATTTTAATTTCCATGCAGTTACAGTGTCGTAGTGCAGAACAGCCCAGCGACACAAATAAGATCAAATTCACAAATTCATACTAACCTGGATTAAGCATTTCAACTAATCTAGAATGCAGAGTATTGTAAGAATCTAAATGTACTGATGAAGTTTGAGGTATATTTAAGTTTAAAAAAGATATATTTTTCATAAATTTATTAGAGAATTGATCCCATCCAATAGATAAATAACGAATTGTGTTGAATAAACCTGTCCAATAAGCAGTAGAATTAAAAGGTATTGATGATTTATCACACACAACTTTTGTTGGTTCTAACTGGGAATCACTAGTGAGCGAATCCATTTCAGCTAAAATATAAAAACACATAAATTCATTTTTTAAAACAAATGCGTATCAATTTGTATAAAATCACAGTGAAAATAAATTCACTTACAATATATATATATATATATATATATATATATATATATATATATATATATATATATATATATATATATATATATACAGATAGATAGATAGTTTTTCCCCACACTAACTCTTACTCTCAATCTCAACCCTAAGATTCTTAAAATTTAAGAACAGAAGGGTTGAGAAACATTGAACTAGAGCTAATGTCAGTTCATGATGAAAACCCTAACCCTAATTTGAAAATCTAACTCAAAACTCCAGCTTAACGCTTATTAACTATCCATAACCCTTTAAAATTATAACCGATGTTATGTGGTGATGACAACTCTATGGGGTGATAACCCTAACTCAGAATACGGTCCCGACTCCTAACACGTAAACTTGACCTTTTCCTTTACTGTAAAGAATAATTCGACATGTAAGGGTAGATTATTCAGATCGAACCTATTATTTTATTGCTTCCGGTAGTGAATTATTTTATAATTAGGCAGCGCTTTATTAGCTAATAAATCGCTCCAGATTGTCAGTGTAGTATACTTTTACCAGTAATATAGTTATAATATACAAATCTTATAGATACCTGAAGACCCATAACCTCATCAATAAATTTACGATATTTACGTACACCTCTAAGCTTAGCCGCGGTACTATCTACTTGGTAATTTTACATTGTAAAAGGATACAAAATTGATGAATATAATGACAAAAGACAAATGATAACTACCACTGTTACCACTATTAGACTTACTTAATATTAGGTGAAGTAGGTAGCGTAGTAGAGTGAGTGGTACGCGAGATGACTGACATGTGATTACAAGTGATTGGGCTACTGAACGGCGTACTACTGCCTTGCTCGATGACAACCGTGTAATTTGTGTACGTAAAAACTATTGGGTAGAATATGAAAAGAGAGTGACAAGGAGTAGTTAAAATTAAGTAATCCATAAACCATGATAACAAACTAAAGAGCATACAAAAAAAACGGAAGTGGCCAAATTTATCCGTTAAAATCGTGATTAAATTTGGCGCTAACGAAAACCGTAAACTTCATAGAAATTCTACTATATAGTTAAAATTAATGTCAGATTACTTATCCAGACTATTCAAGAGCTAACTGAGTGATATCCATGTAGGTATGATGCAGATTTACTGTCATTCCTTGTCAATATAATCGTAATACTTTGCACTATCGTGGATTGAGTTCACATTCCGTTTTTCTGAACTACGAGCCATCGTAAGGTTCTCATACAAAGGAATATATATGAACTGCATAGATGGGACAGTTAATACACAACACTTTGATGACAAACCTCCACACGATCGGTAAAGAATTGTAGAGAAGATGTATTGATGAGGACGGCAGAACGAGTAAACTACATTCAAGTTAGTATAAATCTACATCAACAATATGATTATTATTGAGTATTTTAATACGAGTAAAAATTCATTGAAAACCAATGAACAAAAATCAGCCTGAATTAATTAATACTGAAAATTAATGAACGAAATCCGTCGTCAATCAAAAAATAAATCTTAAAATTGATTTCTTCCGAATGTTGTATTTAGGGAACCAGTATCCTCTCACATCAATTAGTAACAATGTACTCATGGATCTATCTGCGATTGTACTGTCTTCTTTTGGCGTCGGCTGAATTAGTTCCTTGCCCGAAAAACTAATATTAGGCTTAGGAGTTGCTTAGCTCTCTCCATGCGTTCGGTAACTGATTATCAGGTAATATGTCCAAAGGTAGTGGCTGGATCAGAAGTATTTCTCTTATGTAGTTGGTTAAAATATCTATTTCATTTGTCTCTTCCTACTGTCGCTTCATAACATACCTCTTCTTGTTTTCTTGTTATACCGTTCCAGCTGCCTATCATGATTAGACCGGTAATCACGGGCAGACTCTGTTGTCCTAACTTGGAATCCAGGGGTTCTTGCTTTACTTTCGGGGAATCTATGTCATGGTATGGCATGGCAAGTCATTTTAAGCTTTTGCAACGTCAGTGTTCTCTTTAGACATAACTTTTCGGGGGTTGCTATAATGGGTGTGATGATACAATACAAATAGGAAATTTTGTAGACTTTCGGGAGTTCCCTTCCGCTGTGACTTTGGAAATGGTAGCTTGACGGTATCGATAGAACATTCAGTTTATCTATTTGATTAACGTTTGGTGGTGAACATACATGGCCTATTGTAAGATAGTAGTAGAACTCTTTGAATTATCGCAATGTGAACTGATACTGTAGTGAAAAAGAACACGAGTGGGGACAATCGGATGTATTCGACACGAAATTACAGAGCATCTCAATAAAATCTGAGAACCATATAGTAAGTAGTTAATTTTCAAAATATCAATCCATCGTCTCAAAACTTCACGGTTCCTTTTGCAAATATCAGTCCATTGTCTCAGATTTCATTGTTCATGTATTTTCATAACAATTGCGTTCTGTTTCTGTTCTTTCCTTATCGATCTTCTGCTGAAATACATTCTATGCTTGGCCACAGTTATATACTACTTATATGGATATAAGTAACCCACACCACAATACTAGTGTCTAGCAACACATCGGGTATTTGCAGAAATTAATCAAGTAGTTTTTCATGATTTCGGCAAGAATCCGTAGATAACCCTTAAGAATCTTTTTGTTTGTAAATATTATCAGTCGAACACATGGTCTTCTTGGATTTTGTATTGATATTTGTATTAACCTATTTACCTGTTAAGACACGTATATTATAGTTATCACATGGTATCTATTTGTTTATTAATGGTCATGTGATTAGAATGCAGTTCGACTGACTGACTAATCAAGAATGCAATATGCGAACGGTTCAGCTTTACTTGACAATGAGTAAACTAAAGTAAATTAGGTCTAATAGTTTACAAGATCATTCATCATATAAACTTCATATGGATTTGTTTATTCAACAATCTGTTCACTGTCATCAACATTACATTTGGCTGACAAAATAAAATATCACCTCAATCAACAAAGAGGTTCTACTTAACACACTATACGACAGATATGAAATCTGGATGCACACTTCAGTACTCGCCTTTATTATGAACGTAAATACTTTATCTGTTGAAGCCTGATGATCTGTACAATAAACTTTTTCGATAGGATTGTGGTTGGAGGTAGTCGACATGAAACCCTGGACCTAGGTTTCGCGCTACTTGGCACTCATCAGCAAGGTGTACCTGTAATCTTGAGGGAACTAGTGCTCCATAGTGGATTCGATCTTGTGTCATCCGGCTTTACAGCCGGAGACGTTACCACTGAGTTACCTGCGCCGCGACTGACCTCCTGTAGAACTGAGATGTATTTACAACCAACTGACCACTGGGTGGTGATCGAATCCGTCAGGGAGCACAGTCCCCTCAAGAGTACAGGTACACCTTGCTGACGAGTGCCAAGTAGTACGAAACCTAGGTTCAGGGTTTCCTGTTGACTACCTTCAACCACCATCTTATTTCAACATAGTGCACGCAATGTCGAGTCACCTAGACTAGTGGCCACATTGCAACTTGATCGATAGGATTTGATCTGCACTAAGAAGGACCTGACATATATGACATTGATCACTACCCAGTGACCAATCAATTGTAAGAAACTTGTTTATACGATTGCTGAGTTACACTGAGCAATAAACAAACAGCCCAAGAAGAATGAGAGAATAATCACAAAGGATATGTTAGGTAATACTTACGCTGCGTAATTCTTTTTCAGTTGCGTAATAAAACAATTCGTTTGCGATTTGTCGAAAAGAATCAGTTAGGTTTTCAAATAATAAATCATCTTCTTGTTCAAAGATTGATATGAGAACAGGTAGTAAATTGGTTGCATAAAACCTGTAAGTGATTATTAGTGCAAATACAGTGAAATGTACAGCTCACAAGTAATGTTCATCGAGTTTTAGACTGTTATATAAAAAAGATACCTTAATTACAATCAGAAGTACCTAGCATTAAAATCTAGGATATACTTTCCACTTTGTCACCTGGATGTACTTACATCTCATTGTTTTGGTATTTCTGCTAAGAAATGAATGTAGAATTATTCACCAGGCCAATGAATTGTGACAAAAATCTCTTGTTCTAAGAGTAACAATTATTATTAGAATTAGATATCGTCTGTTAGTGTTCTATAAAACTTTATTGATGGATTCCAGTGAAGTGACAAATAACGGTCTAATATTGGAAATGATGGGTACAGAATCTACATCTTAATGTGAACATCCATACTTGGATGTAGGGATATTCGATTGACAATTCATAATATTTGCCAATGTCAAATATAATCAAGATATAGTTACAGACATAATTCGTAGCATTCACAAACTAACAGAAACTGATTAATTAATACACGTAGTTTTACTAAGGATAAGGATATAAAAACAATTAAAAGTGTTAATTATCCCTAACACAGAAGACGTAGAACCTGGTTCAACAGTGTATTTAGCTGAATCATTAACAAACATATAAAGCCTCCGAATACTCTGGTACGGCTGAAAGTGAGGAGGGTCAGCTCTACCTCTCGAGATGCTCTCACATGGCTACGTGCATACAACCACTGCCAGGGAAGTCTTACTCACTGCCTTCTCAAGGCATTTCTCTTATTTACGAAATTGAGAGGACGAAAAGCGAATATCCGGTGCTTTAACCGGGTCGGTGGACACGATGAGTCAACCTAGGGGAGTTGGGAAACCCACATTCCAAACTAATGATGCACATGGACTCCTGTAACCTGAGGGAACAAATGGTGTATGAACCAATCGTTGGTCGCCGGCTGCCATGGGACTGGATCTCCTCACGATGCTCCACTGCCTTGTGGGTCAAACCTTTAGGTCAAAGGCTCGAGGTGTGGCGCACCTAAAAAAACCACCTGCTTTGGTCTGGATACCCGGGAAGTATCCCAGCCCTCACACAAATCGAATGGTTTGTGTGGGGCATGTCTATTTGGTGCCTCCTTGTGCCAATGTTTATATGTTTAAATAAATAAATAAATAAATATAAAAATGATAAAACGGACAACGATGGGGTATAAAAAGGTGTAATGTAATTTGACTCTTGAATTTGATAAAAATAAATGCACTCATGCCATTGTAAAAACAACTCTAGCAATATTTTGCCGTAGGTATTAATTCATTAGCTAGTGACTTTATGGGTTGGCACCATATCACTATCTATCCTCAATTCTTTCATAGCTTAATACTATTACAGCCCGCACTATAGGTCAAAATGGGGGCTTGGTTCGGCATATGAACCCAATGTACAAAATACCCTGGTCGATGGAGATTCATTTCATCAAATCAATTCGTTCCTTCGTCTAGAATTGTGTATGTAGCTCCAACACTTCTAAATAGCTTTAACTATGCCCAACGTGCCTCAAAGACATCTGAAGTCAAGTGTTTAGAGCTTCTCAGTGATGTCTTCTATTTGTAGAGGAGAAAAGCATATTTCAGGGAAGTATAGTGGATTTTCGATAGTCATTCTTGCATTCTTTAGGCGCCTTAGATGATGTTGATTGGGAAATATTAAAAGCATCAATATCCGCACCAAAATTTCGCTGTCCGTTAGCTGACTACCGTTGATGAGATTTTGTCCATAAAAATCAGCTTCATGTTCATCATGTTGTAGTATTAGTGCAGACGGATAGTCGTACAATAAATGTGTTTAGAACAAGCAATTGACGAGGCACAATTTCTTAAGGAAATTAAACTTGAGAAAGTTGTTTCGTACTTCTAAGTCATATGTAATCGAAAGGACTAACCTGCGTTTAGATGTTCTAATTTGTGTAGACAATGAAGCAAATTTCGACAGTGCAACCGATACGGATCTTGAGTTTTGATTACGCTTTAGCTCCATGAGCAGTTCGAACAAAATTAAACGTGTCATACTTGAACGGAGGAACTGAAATTACACAAAGCATTTAGTCTCAAGAAATTAAATTATACGACGCTCGTAATCTCAAAAACAACTCGTTAGAAAATGAAATGAGCACACAAATAAAATTGTGGTTTCTATACTTTAGATACCTATTTCGACAAATAAACTGACTTTAATGAAGGCTACTGCTGAGTATGCTAAAGAGGATTGTGTATGAAAAATAAGTTTAAAAGCAATGAATCAAGCTATGAAAATAGGTGATCAGTGTATTAACATATAATAGGTTACCCCAAATGAACTGAGTTACATATAAAAATCAGTACCCAAGGAGTAACTGATGAAACACTAACCGAATAGCCCTGAGTGCTGTCCGGAATTTTTCAGTTGAGAATACTACTTGGTGATGAATAGCAATAAACAAACCAAGATATTTATACCAACCGCTCCCAACAATCCAACAGTGGATAAATTAAATCGTAATACTAAATTACTTAACCTGGGAATCACATTGCATTTCTTCATCGATAAAATTAATTTAACACTGGGAGTTATGAACCACGTCACTGATTGTTATTTAGAAACCAATCCATAATTTTATTGAAGTGTACGGCTACCTTCTTCATTTTCAAACCAAAGCTTAGGCCAAGACATATGCTCTTATCATTACGAAAACTGGGGGGAACGTGCTTTTGATGCATGAATCTGAAGATTTTATTCGAAACCATAAGTAGGAATGGTATTCGGATGGTGAACAATCAGCGAAAGGAAGTATTCTCGTGAGTAGTTCGCAAAATCCAAATATGAACTTGCAGCTTAATTTGAAAATGGTAAAACTTCTATAAGTTGTATTGTCCAGAACGATAATAGCATAACAAATAGACACTGAGCAATTCAAGCATAAATAAAGGGTGGGAAACTTCGATCTCACAAAGTAAACAATACTGTTGAAAGAGAGATAGTCCATTACTCATAAAATTTAATTCACCTAGGCAGAAATATCGAAATCCTAAGCAAAAATTGCTCGATCAGTAACCTGATTTCGTTGTAACTCTATGGTGGTGGATTTCCAAAGCCTGCCAGAAGCAATTTAGCTAAAATTTCAGTTGACGTCTTACAAATTATAATGAGAGACAAGATGAAAAACACCCTAATAAGAAAAAGTTATAAGCACTGTCAATATTTAACTTATGAACTGTTTAAAGCAATAGCAATTACAATTATCGGTCTGCTACGTTTGTTCATAACTAATTGTAGGTTTTAATCACTTATACCATGAATGACATGCACTTTGGATGGATGTGGCATATATGGATTCAACTTCTTAAAGCAATCTCTCTTCAATCATGATTTTTTGTTTAAGGTGTTGAAAGACTAATTCTCGTGGAACGAAAAACCTAGGGAATAATTCTGATTACTTTTGTACTCCCCCAATAAACACAAACTAGTTGGAAAAACCTTTCCCATCACACTTTGAAGTATATCAACAGAAAGGATGGACTGATGTTATTTCACTTTCTCAGTCACTCCAGTAAAAGATGTCGTTAAGCGGTGGCATGCTAGTTACAGTACTTTGGACCAACAGGTCTCAGGTTCGAACCCTCTTTCATCGGCTTCAGTTTGGGAAGTCAGATAACATTACTTTCTCATAGCTTAGTATATGAATGAGTACTTGTTGTGTAGATTTTATTGGTTTCGAACAAACAAAATTTATGTTTGCAAATGAAAGTTTTACCATTAACCCGCTGCGACGATGTTCGTCGAGATTTATTCAATTTTCCAAAACCGCGACATCCTTCACTGATACTATCAGTTGCTTGCCGTAGCTTAGCTTTCCCAAAAGTTACAGGACGAGTAATTACGACATACGTCAAAGAGATAAATTTTGAAACAGTGAAGTGTCGTAAGATATGGAATCAAATAACAGAAGTACATACGTATGTAGGTTAAAACTACCATAAAATTGCGTTTTCAAAAATTCTGTTAGTTTGGTACACGATAATGTAGAACTGCGAAGTTCTTTATCTAACAACTTGACACAGGTTCCAAGTGTGCAAAATGCTTGCGGGGACAAGAAGCAGAAATGTCAGCGGTGGTTGGTCACTTTGGTTGAACAAATCAACAACGGAGAGGTCCCTTATTTATTTCGTTTCATAACAAACTTGGTACAACATAGCTATCAATATAAATCTGTACAATGAGTTGTTGTGACTCAGTAACACTCAGTAACCCTGATCCCTGGAAAGATGGATTCTAGATTAGTTTATCGATGGAGGTACTAATACCTGGGTTTTGGAAAACTTAGCTGACAATTCTTGAATATAATGTAAGTGGTATTGGCGAGTAGCCCTAACAGAAACTATGCATCTGAGGTCTGAAGTAACTTTACTTCGTCACTTTTAAGTTGGAAAAATTTGAAAAGTCCTCGGTTTCACATCGATTACCTGAGATATCTGGTACGTACAAAACTCTTATTATCAAGTAGTAGCATGTACACAGACATATTCCAGTCATACATCATAAATGTAATCGATGAACAACGAAAAAAGACTATCTTTGTTCAAACTATAGTCGATAGGAGTTGAATAGACATTTCCACTTAAAAATTTACCATATAGTGTGTTAAAAAACAGAACTTCACGAGTGGTGAGAATGTATAAAGAGAGGATAATAAAACCCTGGCACAGTGAAATATTACGACATTGTCAAGAAATGACCCACTCTCTTGAAGTTCAAAAAAGTATGAAGACAAAAGTAGACTCCAAAGATGTCAGAAAATCTTTTCTATTAATGGTACATTGCTAATAAATGCAAGTTAGAATAATCTTAATTTATGATTAAATTGGATCATAGAACCGAATCTTCATAGTAGTACAATGAACAGGAAAAAACTTCACTACTATGACTAGACGGTTGAGAGACACGTGAAATGAATCAAGCTAGCAAACGGATATGGGTAGAAATCAGACATTAGAACTTTTGTATTAAGTCATGTTGATCAAGCAATTTCAAGTATAACTAACAGACCTTGAGTGTTGCACCATACTAGTGATAAAAGATTTTTAAAAAACCCAAGTCCCGGATTACGGATGAAGCATCATATTATTTAGAAGAGCCCGCTGTTACCGAGGCATATATTTTATTACGGTTAAACCACCACTATACCCAAAGAGCTTATTTTTTCACCCCATTAAAACCCCTACACTGAGTATAGTTCTACAAGTTTAATACGCCGAATTAGTTCATTTCTGCTCTTACATTTTTACTAGCTATCGGCTGGTGTTGGTATTATAAATCTCTATTTCCGGTCGTCGTGTTGATGAGAAGTGTAGTGACATCAATACGTATTAATTTTCTTAAAAAACTAATCTATGAATTCTTATCAATAACCTACTGATTTCGAATGAACTTAGATTGAGGTGGATTTCCGCTGAGTAGTTAATATGGTAAAGTACAAATACATGTACTCCACTTATACTGCGGTTATGTCACGACTTAATTGGGGTAGCACCAGTTGTTGTGAAAGTTTTCTAATGAATCCAAATATTACTCTTTGGAAGTTTAATTTTTTTACCTATGTGGGACTGAAATTTTTGATCACCATTTTAAAAAAAATCACCTTGATAAGTTTGTTCAGGCCTTCATCAGCAGCTATACGGACGTCAGAATTTGAATCATTGAGAAATCTAAAGAGAGATGACAGTACAACATTCAAATGGCGAAGTGCAATAGATGAATCCCGTGTCTGTACTCGTAAAAGACCTTCTACAAGATCGTGTATAATACGAAGAGAATCGGGTCGTTCAAACACAGGAAATGAGTTCGATGACAAACTTAATGCAGTTCCTATTGATGCATTGTTTAAAATAGATTTTGCATCAGATCTATTTATTTCATCCAACTTATGCGATACTCCAACAGCTTGAAGCGCTGATATTAAATCTGATTCTGTTACGGACCCGGAACTCATTTTATGTAGAATCCTGAAAAAAAACATAGAGATGGTTTTAAAAAGACGTACATGAAATTAACGAGATCTAAACTGTATGAGTCTACATTATAATTGAATTTAAACAAGTACCCTTAAAATTGCTAAACGCATATAGATCGTAATTCGACAGGAGAATTATGTAAGGTAGCGGATTGTAAGTTTCAGTCCATTTAGTGTCTGAATCAGAGGTCGATTTCATGTTGATATCAAAGACGTTATCGTATCATGCCACTATAATACAGAAATCTGTTCCAAATTCATTGATGATGCAAATATAGATATTGAAATATAAACACATAGGCCATCATTCATAGTTTGCTACAAAAAATTTATTGGTGGGACTATAATTTATGGACGAACCAATAAGATACAAGATAGCAGGTTTTAGATTTCAGTGCAAACTTCACTGACCTCTCTGGTTAAATAGCATCTTGGCATTTTAGCTTATGTCCATTCGTGATGAAAGCTCTAAATCTAGTTCGTAATCCCAACCACCAGCTGTAAACCATAATTCCAATTCCTCACTGTTCTATATCATTCATTTAGTCCTAGTTAACAGGTGGACATTCTCGAGGTCACTTTGGCGTCGCTCAAATTAGTCTTACCCATTTGTTAACAATATCAAGATGACACCACTGACAATAACTTCTTATTTAATTGCATCTGTTTTGCCATTAGTGATTGATACCAATTTTGCATGTTTTTATTAACTTGGGGATTGGCTACGTCTTCATTTTATAAATGACTCAAACGGCCATCGACGTTGCCCACTACCAATATGACTGTGCTTGGACTTGAAATATTTTCACTCGGATTCGTACTGCTGCTTTCTTCGGTTGTTTATCAGCTCTTTCTGTAGATTATATTGAACCTCTTGGGATCGAATATATATACATATATATCAAGTGTCATGCAACTACAATTGATGAATCGCAAGCTCTGCATATAAACCTGCTTTAGAACATGTTTTAGAACTACTTAATTCTGTACTGATTTCCTTTTGTTGGTTAATAGCCAACTGATTTTAACAAGCTCCTTTGGAAAAAACTTCGTTTACGGAAAGATACATTATCAATACACCAGGTGGAAATTATGGCGACTTCAATAAAGCATATGACAAAGCACTATGAACAAACCCTAAAGCAAGAACCTAGCAGCACATCTTCCATTGAGCGAAAGTAACTTAATTATTTACAAGCAAATACGTATATATATACGTATTTGTATACGCTTACAGCGTTAAACTTATTAACAAGTAACTCCTTATCAAGAGATAGTGACCAACTAAAAGTAATGAAGGGATACGTCGAAGAAAACAGCTAAATTGCAGTTTAACTCGAAAACACACCGACCTCAGAAGAAGGGATATTGGACAGAGCGCCACCACAAATCCCTGAGTTTTAATGCAAAACAATATGTTCCAGTGTACAATATACCAGACTTCCGAAACAACGATATATATAAGTAAGTAAACTCATAAGATAAATATTCACATGAAAATTCAATATTTGACACTTTTGTTTTACTATTTTTGGATTTCTACGATTCTAGTTCTGTAATGGTGTCTGAAAAAACGCGTTATTCGGAACGAAGCTTTGATAAAGACCTACTAATTCACTGAAAGTTCATAGTTGTCTGATGATGATTGACCCTTGAAATTCCGTACCGGCAAACATCTCGTTTCTTAGCTTGCGAGCTAGTTCCAATTTTTCATCTGTTTATGATTACAGTGACACGTTTAAATGCTAAGTCTAGATGTTCACTCTGTAATCGAACAATCTTCAGCATATGGATGTGCAGGTTGATACCGGAATACATCTCCAATAAAGTGCTAAGGGTCCATTTTCTGGCCTATGTTCCCTTCGGCTAATAAATAAACTGTTATGTAGGAATAGATTCAAGCCCTATGATGGAAATTGAGATGTCTGTGGTAGCAAAGCTTGCATTAGCCGACTTCATGACAAACATGCTGTTTTTGGTATACGATGATTTGTTTTCCGTTAGCCATCTGTGTACTAAACACTAATTTTAAAACGGATATGTGGTGCAGTTTGGTCATCAACCGTATGTTTGGTCGTTTTCTTTTCTTACGGTCTGAAGAGACATCCGACTGATAAAATTTTAGTTTATCTTTGTCTTCGGTTTGGTATTTGGTAGTTTTTGCTCCGGGGACCTGCAAAACTGAAGAACGACATTAAGGTCGACTATTTGTAAATTGCGAATAAACTTTGGTATCTAAATCGGGGCTTGATTCTATTTTTAATTTGGGTTCGTATGCCGTACTTGAATAACGAAAGCGAGCGAAACCTTGAACGTAACATAAATTTCTTTAGTTATTGGTTCTATATTCTTCATACTTTGGGTTTGTTTGCACTTTCACTTTGGGTCGATTGTTCTAGCTCTATTTGCTGACGTGATGATATTAGTGGTAATCGTATGTGTTCTGATCAGTACTAAAATTAGGTACGGCATTACTAAGCAAGAAAAACTTAGAGGAGTGACTTGAGTAAGAAAGACAGCTTAAGATGTTAGATCTTCAGGAAGAGGTAGATATAAGTGGATTCCAATATAAGTTCATGGAGGAGGATAACCAGCTACCTGGATACAAGGGTGAGATAAATGCTAAGGTTGTAAGATATTTTGATTGTGATAATTTTAGCATTTCAAAAGGCGATGGGGTTTGTGAGGTCTAGGATGCGTTACATACTATGGTTAATAATATGGTTTTAACTAAGATTGGCATAATGTATTTTGATGGACGACCACCATTTCGTTGGTCAGTTTACTAGCGTTGTCGAAAGTAAACTGTCTGATAAGGGCCAAATGTCGTATCTGTTATATTACTGTAAAGGAAAGGCCAGGACGGCTATTAAAGCTTGTATTTCTTTACCCGATCATTTGGGTTATGACAGAACTAGACAAATTTTACGGTCTATTTGGTAAAGAACACTTTGTTGCTCGCGAACTAATTATTGAGTTACTCAAACATAAGTCTGTTGAAGAATCAGTCGATAGCTTAACTGACTTCTCGATTATGCTACGTAACGTATGCATAACATTAAAGAAAATGGAGTATATTTCTTGTGTGAATTCTAACACTAATTTGGAGATAATGTCATGTTTACCACTAGAATTAAAGAATAAGTGGGTGAAAGTTGCTGATAATATCATGATGGTCGGGAAGGAGCCGAGCTTTGATGAAACTGTAATCTTTGTAGAGGAAAGGACTAGGATTGCTCAGATGCGTTATGATAGATTGGTGCAGTGTAACTCAAAGTTCGGTAAAAGGAATTATGAAGGCCAGGTTGACAACTGACAACGCTTTAACGTAATTAAGCGTGACCCAAGCAACTCAGTCAAGGTTTTAAGTTACGAAGTTTGCTTAGGTAATCACAGAGAGACAGATTGTACAAAGTCATCGAAAGTGAATGTTACAGAAAGGAGACCGGAGATAAGATGTGGTCTGTGTTACCTGTGTTTGAGGATGGGTTACATAGCCAAGTCGAGCAGATCGGGCTTCAAGTGTGACGTTGAGAATCATAAGATTCATTGCTACATATTGATTATGTTGAAGACGCCACAAGTATTTGGAGTTTGAAACCGCTTTAATCAGTAACACTATACTATGAATTGTGCCCGCCTAGTGAATTCAAAGGTCAGAAGTGAGGAAGTTCGAAGATATATTTAATAGGCTATTAATATATCGGGAACCGACTAATCTAAACTGACTAGCGATTAAAAGGGAAGTTGAGTAAGGTGTTCCCTTCGTGATCAGGTAGGGATGCATGACCGAGAGCCTTCAGCTGGGTGAATCCAGTAACACTAATGTGGTCGGCATATGTCGAAAACTTACAGAGCCATTGATTTTGAGGATTTATTTACCGCCACAGTATTAATAACCATGTAGTGAACTTGTAGAGGGATTGAACCCTAATCACACAATCCTCAAATGTGAACACGAGGCAATTAGAAAAATAGATCTTCAACATTTACCGCGGAGAAAAAACCAACGATTGAGAAGACGGGAGGAATGAATCCAATTTATGGACTGATCGGATGGCATGGCTCAGCCTTTCAGGTGTGATCACTCTTGAGTGTTATCTCATATCTTTTATTCATCTCCAAGAGGGACTACTGAGCGCACGAGAGTTCGTGCAAGGTCACAAACAACAGAAGAGAGTGTTTTTCGATACATTTAAACAATTGGGTACTGTAAACAAATCACTGGGACAGTTGGTTATAATAATAATTGTCTCCATTACAGTGATTGCGTTCTCGCTATAAATGTAGGTCACTACGAGAGCTCCCTTCCACTAGAAATGGTTTACACGTTCGACACGTAGCGAGGAAGGGTGGCGTTACTGACCAGCAAACATGATGGTGGGGAGATAAATTCAATCCACCCATGTCTGTTGGGCAGAACATTTTGTTTAATTACGGCTCCTTATGGTTTAGTGGGATGTAACGAACTTATGGTATTGAAGCTGATTTATCACGCAAAATACCTCTTTAAATCGTGTTACGAACGTTGAATTGGTTTCACTTCCTACCCAGTAATCCTATTACAAGCAAACTAGACAATTCGCTAATATACGAAGCCTACTCAAGACCCTATGATACCTGAAAAAAATAATAACACAAAAAAAATGAAAAGGGCTCCAAAAGCTTCGATAAAAAAGATAGCCAATTGTATATCACAATACTGTTTCTAGCACCATATTTTATTTTATAACCATACATAATCCCATACTCTCAGCTCCTTTCCGAATCGCCTCCATTTGTCAGTTGTATGTCCACTCACACCTTGTTAACACTTATTTTCGTTAACCTATTAAATGCTTTTTCTTAACAAATACCTTAAGAAAAGAAAATTAGAATGAGTAATTATACCTTAAACATTCATTCATGAAAATTGGCTACTCTGCCCCTCGTGTTTTCTTTTACTTGCCCCTCTTTCAGCCCCCTTGTGATATGGAACGAAAGATTTTATCCTGCACTATCCTCAAAGCCTTAGACATTCCAAAGAGACATAAGGTTGCGACATTTAGAAGCTCCCACCTTCAATGGACCTAACCTTGATCATCAGTTGCACATTTGCAACGCAATTTTCGTGAAGCGCGCCAACTGTGATACTGATTAAAACCATCTACATTCATATCTTATAAATTATCAACCCAGCTGTGTAATTCACTACAGTGGATATTGTATCATTTGTATCAATTTGATCTTGCCTGTAAACTGGCATGCCTCATGTAACAAACTGTTATTTGAGAATAAATAATTGTTATTATTAGTATTATTATTATTATTTGCTTCGTGGGATTGATCGGCAAACGTGTGATTGTAGGAAGAAAGTGTTGACAAAACAGGAAGCGATCGTTTATCCTCGAGTTGTCACCAATAGCCTTTTATGTACCATAACAACCAGGTTCGAGACCATATGTATCCCAGATATATTCAGAGCCAGAAAATCGAATGAGTGCATTGACAATAGCGTAGGTGATTAGGCCAGCTTTCGCCAAGTCGACGGTAATGACAGGGCGACGGTTGGAGGCGTGGGCTCAGGATAAAGAAAATCTAAGAAAAAGAGGAAGATGTAGCATGCATGTAGTATAAAGATAGAGTCCTATACTGACTCCGTTGTTCATTGAGAGGTTAGTCGCGAAAGCGTACGGGTAAGCGTACTAGGCGACCGGAACGTGAGACGATAGTCTTGTTTGCACTTCGTGAGACTTCAATCTCATCCGGAGTCTGGTAGCGCGGTCTGCTGATTTGGACATGAGACTAACGTTTCGTCCGTAGATGTTGACTGGGATTTGAGAATGGAGTCTCTGATGTATCTAATGTGGGGTCCGAAGTAGATGTGGGGACACCGCTTAAAAATTTGATGGGTCTAGCACTGAGTCTCAACTTACCAAGTAGAGCACTGTCGACGATGTGTGCCGGATTGAGGCGAGCAAAGCTGACTGTATCGACACGGACATGTCGATCAACGTTGGAGGTCTTTTCATGACGACAAATCACGTGAAAAGGACCTCCGTAAACCTGCTGAAAAGGAGTGCGTATGGAAAATATTGGCATGGAAACATTTGAACAGGTACATAAAACTCGAGGAAGAGCAATCCGTCGATAACGTACAGATTCAAGCTTCGTGTGCTCGAATAGCAATATACGGTTGGCGATGAAGCAGAAAACATAACCAGCTAGATTCTGTGTAGTAGACGTTTGTGGGTAGGCGTTTCATGATGTAACAATCGCCCGACTAGATAACACCAATTGCTCACATGCGTGTATGTCGGTGATTCTGTGAGGAATGCAACGAACTGTATTTAAAGCGTCTTGCGACTAGTCAGGTGTAAGTGGTTGTAAGTGTGATTCGGCACGATTTTCTGG